GGTAGGCCGGGTTTTGTGCGTATGCGGTGTGGTATGCCGTGTGGTATGCCGGTGTGGTATGCGGTGTGGTATGCCGGTGTGGTATGCCGGTGTGGTATGCCGGTGTGGTATGCCGGTGTGGTATGCCGTAGTGGTATGGCGGTGTGTATGCCGTAGTGGTATGCGGTGTGGTATGCCGGTGTGGTATGCCGGTGTGTGGTATGCCGGTGTGGTATGCCGGTGTGGTATTGCCGGTGTGGTATGCCGGTGTGGTATGCCGGTGTGGTATGCCGGTGTGGTATGCCGTAGTGGTATGCCGGTGTGGTATGCCGGTGTGGTATGCCGTAGTGGTATGCGGTGTGGTATGCCGGTGTGGTATGCCGGTGTGGTATGCCGGTGTGGTATGCCGGTGTGGTATGCCGGTGTGGTATGCCGGTGTGGTATGCCGGTGTGGGTATGCCGTAGTGGTATGCCGGTGTGGTATGCCGGTGTGGTATGCCGGTGTGGTATGCCGTGTGGTATGCCGGTGTGGTATGCCGGTGTGGTATGCCGGTGTGGTATGCCGGTGTGGTATGCCGGTGTGGTATGCCGGTGTGGTAGCCGGTGTGGTATGCCGTGTGGTATGCCGGTGTGGTATGCCGTAGTGGTATGCCGGTGTGGTATGCCGGTGTGGTATGCCGGTGTGGTATGCCGGTGTGGTATGCCGGTGTGGTATGCCGGTGTGGTATGCCGGTGTGGGTATGCCGGTGTGGTATGCCGGTGTGGTATGCCGGTGTGGTATGCCGGTGTGGTATGCCGGTGTGGTATGCCGGTGGTGGTATGCCGGTGTGGTATGCCGGTGTGGTATGCCGGTGTGGTATGCCGGTGTGGTATGCCGGTGTGGTATGCCGGTGTGGTATGCCGGTGTGGTATGCCGGTGTGGTATGCCGGTAGTGGTATGCCGTAGTGGTATGCGGTGTGGTATGCCGGTGTGGTATGCCGGTGTGGTATGCCGGTGTGGTATGCCGGTGTGGTATGCCGTTGTGGTATGCCGGTGTGGTATGCCGGTGTGGTATGCCGGTGTGGTATGCCGGTGTGGTATGCCGGTGTGGTATGCCGTGTGGTATGCCGTGTGGTATGCCGGTGTGGTATGCCGGTGTGGTATGCCGGTGTGGTATGCCGGTAGTGGTATGCCGGTGTGGTATGCCGGTGTGGTATGCCGTGTGGTATGCCGGTGTGGTATGCCGGTGTGGTATGCCGGTGTGGTATGCCGGTGTGGTATGCCGGTGTGGTATGCCGGTGTGTATGCCGGTGTGGTATGCCGGTGTGGTATGCGGTGTGGTATGCCGGTGTGGTATGCCGGTGTGGTATGCCGGTGTGGTATGCCGGTGTGGTATGCCGGTGTGGTATGCCGGTGTGGTATGCCGTAGTGGTATGCCGGTGTGGTATGCCGTAGTGGTATGCGTAGTGGTATGCCGTGTGGTATGCCGGTGTGGTATGCCGGTGTGGTATGCCGGTGTGGTATGCCGTTGTGGTATGCCGTGTGTATCGGTGTGGTATGCCGGTGTGGTATGCCGTTGTGGTATGCCGGTGTGGTATGCCGGTGTGGTATGCGTGTCGTAGTGGTATGCCGGTGTGGTATGCCGGTGTGGTATGCCGTAGTGGTATGCGGTGTGGTATGCCGTAGTGGTATGCCGTAGTGGTATGCCGGTGTGGTATGCCGTAGTGGTATGCCGTAGTGGTATGCCGGTGTGGTATGCCGGTGTGGTATGCCGGTGTGGTATGCCGGTGTGGTATGCCGGTGTGGTATGCCGTGTGGTATGCCGGTGTGGTATGCGTGTGGTATGCGTAGTGGTATGCCGTGTGGTATGCCGTAGTGGTATGCCGTGTGGTATGCCGGTAGTGGTATGCCGGTGTGGTATGCCGGTGTGGTATGCCGTAGTGGTATGCCGGTGTGGTATGCCGTGTGGTATGCCGGTGTGGTATGCCGGTGTGGTATGCCGGTGTGGTATGCCGGTGTGGTATGCCGGTGTGGTATGCCGGTGTGGTATGCCGGTGTGGTATGCCGGTGTGGTAATGCCGGTGTGGTATGCCGGTGTGGTATGCCGGTGTGGTATGCCGTGTTGTATGCCGGTGTGGTATGCCGTAGTGGTATGCCGGTGTGTATGCCGGTGTGGTATGCCGTGTGTATGTGTGTATGCCGGTGTGGTATGCCGGTGTGGTATGCCGGTGTGGTATGCCGGTGTGGTATGCCGGTGTGGTATGCCGGTGTGTATGCGGTGTGGTATGCCGGTGTGGTATGCCGGTGTGGTATGCCGGTGTGGTATGCCGGTGTGGTATGCCGTAGTGGTATGCCGGTGTGGTATGCCGGTGTGGTATGCCGGTGTGGTATGCCGGTGTGGTATGCCGGTGTGGTATGCCGGTGTGGTATGCCGGTGTGGTATGCCGGTGTGGATGCCGGTGTGGTATGCCGGTGTGGTATGCCGTAGTGGTATGCCGGTGTGGTATGCCGGTGTGGTATGCCGGTGTGGTATGCCGGTGGGTATGCCGGTGTGGTATGCCGGTGTGGTATGCCGGTGTGGTATGCCGGTGTGGTATGCCGGTGTGGTATGCCGGTGTGGTATGCGGTGTGGTATGCCGGTGTGGTATGCCGGTGTGGTATGCCGGTGTGGTATGCCGTAGTGGTATGCCGGTGTGGTATGCCGGTGTGGTATGCCGTAGTGGTATGCCGGTGTGGTATGCCGGTGTGGTATGCCGTGTGGTATGCCGGTGTGGTATGCCGTAGTGGTATGCCGTAGTGGTATGCCGTAGTGGTATGCCGGTGTGGTATGCCGTGTGGTATGCCGGTGTATGCCGTATGGTATGCCGGTGTGGTATGCCGGTGTGGTATGCCGGTGTGGTATGCCGGTGTGGTATGCCGGTGTGGTATGCCGTAGTGGTATGCCGGTGTGGTATGCCGTAGTGGTATGCCGGTAGTGGTATGCCGGTGTGGTATGCCGGTGTGGTATGCCGGTGTGGTATGCCGGTGTGGTATGCCGTAGTGTAGGCCGTGTGGTATGCCGGTGTGTATGCCGGTGTGGTATGCCGGTGTGGTATGCCGGAGTGGTATGCCGGTGTGGTATGCCGAGGTATGCCGTGTGGTATGCCGGTGTGGTATGCCGGTGTGGTATGCCGGTGTGGTATGCCGGTGTGTATGCCGGTGTGGTATGCCGGTGTGGTATGCCGGTGTGGTATGCCGGTGTGGTATGCCGGTGTGGTATGCCGGTGTGGTATGCCGGTGTGGTATGCCGGTGTGGTATGCCGGTGTGGTATGCCGGTGTGGTATGCCGGTGTGGTATGCCGGTGTGGTATGCCGTAGTGGTATGCCGGTGTGGTATGCGGTGTGGTATGCCGGTGTGGTATGCCGGTGTGGTATGCCGGTGTGGTATGCCGGTGTGGTATGCCGGTGTGGTATGCCGGTGTGGTATGCCGGTGTGGTATGCCGTGTGGTATGCCGTAGTGGTATGCCGGTGTGGTATGCCGGTGTGGTATGCCGGTGTGGTATGCCGGTGTGGTATGCCGGTGTGGTATGCCGGTGTGTATGCCGGTGTGGTATGCCGCGTGTGGTATGCCGTGTGGTATGCCGGTGTGGTATGCCGTAGTGGTATGCCGGTGTGGTATGCCGTAGTGGTATGCCGTGTGGTATGCCGGTGTGGTATGCCGTGTGGTATGCCGGTGTGGTATGCCGTAGTGGTATGCTCGGGTGTGGGATGCCGGTGTGGTATGCCGGTGTGGTATGCCGGTGTGGTATGCCGGTGTGGTATGCCGGTGTGGTATGCCGGTGTGGTATGCCGGTGTGGTATGCCGGTGTGGTATGCCGTAGTGGTATGCCGGTGTGGTATGCCGTAGTGGTATGCCGGTGTGGTATGCCGTAGTGGTATGCCGTAGTGGTATGCCGGTGTGGTATGCCGTAGTGGTATGCCGGTGTGGTATGCCGTAGTGGTATGCCGTAGTGGTATGCCGGTGTGGTATGCCGGTGTGGTATGCCGGGTCGACACTGTAGTGACCGTCGTAGCGTGTCCAGTGACCACCCTGCCACCATCTTGTAGCCTATGCACCCATTTCACTTTCGGGCCCGCACCACAGGGGCATTAGAGAAGGAGGTGGGGGGGGGGGCAGGGCCGGCGCCACTGGTACGGCCGGTACGGCCATGGCCGTACCAACTTCCCAAAAAGTCGGTCCACGTGGAACGTCCAAAGCCGGGGAGAAAAAGTTTCGATGTACTGTACAAGTATGATTTTGTACAGGGAGTCGCCCAGAGTGCAGGATTTGCCGGAAAAATAAATCCTAGGGGAGGACCCCAGACCCCCCTTAAAGATGGCCCTTCGGCCGCACCGCGTACCGCTCCGCGGAACCTGCCTCCGGCCCTGGGGGGTGCTCACGTCTAGTGTATAATTATTGCAATTAGTTCTCCACTGTGTTTGGCCGGTGATATTTTTCTACTAGTCATGTCACCAGTGGACACTTGAACTTATCTGCTCACTGCCAATGCTCTCTGGATCAGTGGATGGCAGATCATCTACCTCCGAATTATTTGGAATCAGTCGCCGTGGCCCTCTGAATAGCAGTGTCCGTTTTTCAACAAAACAAAAATGCAGCACATGCAGTAGTACATACAATGTAGTGTATCGTATTAAAACTGAAAAGAAATAATTACAGCTGTGGACGATATCTGCACGTTTTTTTCAAAGCCAGGGGGGCCTATACCTAGGGCCAGGGAAAACCACACTGAATAATGCCAATGGGTTTGCCATGCCAAAGCTCAATTTTTGTACAGATTGGGCAAACCCCCCCCCCCCCCCCCCCCCCTCCATGATCCAAGGCGACTGACGTACTGCACAATCATCGATATCTGGGGGATATCCCTCAGTTTTCCTGCCAGTCAGTGCAATGCATGCAGTGTCATGTCACGTCAGCTGTGCAAGCCATGGCCGGATAGGGCATAAGTATAAGATCTCCCCCACCCAACGACTTACTTGCCTTGCTGCAGTTTAGATCTACAGGCAGAATATACTAAACAGTCTCTGTTTGCAGCGGGGTCATGGAGCAGTCATCTAGTACCTGACCATCACGAACACTCGTACACGGTCGGAGGTATCCTGAAAGGGGTTGCAGGTGCACTGCTTTCAAGTCCCACTATCCGTATCACTGTAGTATTTGCTTCGGAAGTACTGGCAGGTCTTTGAATTTGTCACAATGACATTGTGAGTTGTATCATTTTGGCCAGAAAATTGTTTGGAAAAAATGCATTCAACGACAAGGACGAGGAGAATCTTGACACTAGCTACTGGTGCAAGTGTGGCGTTGCTGCTGCTGGTCATTCCGCATCCTGTCCATCTCGGTGCTGCAGCTGCTGCTGCTGGTGGTGGTGGTGGTGGCGTGCGTACAACGGAGCGTAGTTATTTGAGTTGTTCCGCTCCTGGAGGTCGTGCACTAGGCGACGATCGACTGCCATGCTTGAAAGTCACTGGATCCTACTATGACGTTGGACGGCAAGTGGTAAGCCGATCATCTTTATTACAGAGCTTTATTGATTTTTATTTCTTAGTGAATTAAAATAAATTGTTATTGAGGGATTCACCAAAGGCCGGCTATCGGGGGGGGGGCTAGAGTATAGCGTTCCTTTTTTTGCTGATGATAGACTAGACTGTGGACGTACTCAAAACGTAAATATAAAATCCTGAACAGCAACTGCACAGTGCACTGAGGCGGGTCATTGTCCATGAATCACTTGACCTAAGCCGGACGACCATGCCGCTACATGATGTGTCAGACGCTTTGTTATCGCTCCTTCCCTTTCTTTGAAGTAGGGAGGTGAGCCGGAGTGACCAATGTGCCCGGATAACTGAGGTATGCATGTACCAGGAGTAGGAGTGTGTAGGGCGCAGTAGAGACAGACTGAGCATCACACTGACGAGGTCACTGTACACACTCAGGGTATATTCTAGGACGAATTTCCAACCGGTTACGGTGCAATGAAGAGTGGTGGGGGGGGGGGTGCGGTGGTCCCCCCCGGAATTTTTTTCAAAATACAACCCAAATATGGCACTCGACAGCAATTTAACAGATTTCTTGGTGCTGGAGTGTAGCAAAGATATAAGCAGCTCCATTCACCCACAGAAAAGTACGGGCGGTTGGAACTGATTTGTAACTTTTCAACCGGTCGCCAACAATTTCAACCGGTCGAAAACCGGTTGGGGCGGTTCTAGAAAATTCCCTGCACTTGTACTGCAGTCAGTGCACCGAGTCCGTCTACAAGATGGTGCTAGCCGCTACTGCAGCTGCGGACAAGTCATATAACTGCCTGCATCATGCCCAGTACCGACAGTATCTATGACAAGACGACGGAAACACAACTAGACAAGACGAACTCAAGTCGAAGACTGCTTTTCACACCACAGCAACACACGCATGCACCAACACCACGTACACATGACGTACACAAAATAACGTACTACAGTACAACATACGCATGTGTTATCTTGTGCAGGGTGAGGCGTTCAAAGATCGAATAATCCAGGCTTATCACAAGTCAGAGTCATCTAGTGAACTGCACGAGTTTGCCAAGTCCAGCACTGGTCAAGCACATCTCAACCGATGGAAGGATGCCGTAGAACGCTACCCCAATGTTGTAGCCGAGATGAAAGGCATTGCCGACGGCAGTGGCATTGACTATGAGGAGGTATGTTTCCGTTGCACTTCTGCTTGATGCTGCTGCTACTACTGGTGCTGCTGCTGGCGGTGGTGCTGCTGCTGGTAGTGGTGGTGCTACTGCTGGTGCTGCTGCTGCTCCTGTGGTGCTGCTGCTCCTCGTGGTGGTGCTGCTGCTGCTGCGGCTGCTGCTGCTGCTGCTACTGCTGGTGGTGCTGCTGCTCCTCAGTGGTGGTGGTGGTGGTGGTGCTGCTGCTGCTGGTGCTGCTGTTGGTGCTGCTGCTGGTGGTGGTGGTGATGCTGCTGCTGCTGGTGGTGGTGCTACTGCTGGTGCTGCTGGTGGTGGTGGTGGTGGTGGTGGTGGTGGTGCTGCTGCTGCTACTACTACTGGTGGTGCTGCTGGTGGTGGTGGTGCTGCTGCTGCTGGTGCTGCTGCTGGTGCTGCTGGTGGTGGTGCTGCTGCTGGTGCTGGTGGTGGTGGTGCTGCAGCTATGAGGGTATCACTGCTGCCACTAACAGTGCTGTATACAGTGCTTGTCATAATCTGACCTGACCCAAGGGTGTCTGGAGTAGCCACACCATATTCACGCAGACCCGTTGCCAGTCTACAGGAGAGAGAGAAGGGGGGGGGGGGGGGGGCTGTTGGGTGGCCTAGTACGTACATGTTTGTGCAAACCTGTATTGCTGTATCCATAAAAGGAAACTTGTCATGAATTGGTCGCTGCTCTCTTCTCTTTTCTCTTCCTTTCCATCTTCTTTCTTCAGGTGTTCCTGTACAATTGTGCATTTGAAATTGGTATCATCCTGCGTAAACTGGATTCTTTGACATCCTGCAGTGACTTGCTAGTTCAGCTACCAAATATGGTAAGCAGATTTAAGCAGTGCTGTACTGGGGTCACCCCAACGTGTATGATTATACTGATGTACAGTGAATATTAGATAAACCTTGTATCGTAGTGTAGAAACACGCTTTTAGTTTGACAGCATAATTATTACAAGGCGGTGGAACACATGGTTCAGATGGTTACAAGACCGGGTATGTCTGCCTAGATCAAAGACTGAGGACGGTGGAAGAGGATTTGCAGTTTTTAACTCGGCAAAGTCATGAATTGTGGGTGTTTTCGAAGCCTGTGTTAACCGTAGCGTTTGTTACCTTCTGTATTGACTGGCATCCGGCAGGTTTTGGATGGACATAACGAAGATGGAGCTGGATGTGCAATGAACACATCCTATCTGATCAATGCACAGATAACCGGCAATGACGGTAAGAACAGTGAACTGATGTCTGCGGCACATGTTCTGCATTTTGACAGGGTGATAGCCTCTTCTCCTACAGCACACCTCTACACATAGCACCTGTCAGGTGTTCCTGACCCATGATGACACCCGAATCTGGTGGTACCATTCCTATGGTACATTGAACTGATGGCGTTATTGCGGTCATATCTACAGTCAAGTTTGCTTGCATTGGTGGATGTGATGGCTCGTCACTTTCTGTTTTTTTCTTCTATGGATTGTCAACATCTCCTCTACTATCTCTTTGTAATATTCCTTCACGAGAAATATTCTAAATCTTGTTGCTCTGTGAATGTAGTGAAGGGACACCCTGTCATTCTTCACTGGCTGTTAGTAAAGTACACTGAAAGCCTCGACCGCACTGTAGCTACATACCATTGCCCTCCCTCCCTCCCCCCCCCCCCCCCTTCTCCCACTTACCTGAACTCTGAATCACATGTTTCTGCCTCGGATCTTTTGATCGGCATTTTGTTTGTGTTCATAATAGGCACTGTCGAAGAAGACTTTGCAGCGTTTGCATATGCGGGCATTCTGCCCGGAAATGCCTTTTCCTTCAACCAGCATGGCTTGTCGTTTGCAGCCAACGCCGTATTTGAAAAGCATCTAAGAGAAAACGGGGCTGCACTCCGTAAGTTTTTAAAGAGTATTCTTGACTCACTTAAATGAAAAGAGGTCTGTAGTCTATATGTTTGCCTGATTTCTCCTTGCACGCTTCACAACCACACGGCAGGGCAGTGAGTTTTGTAGAAGTGCAGATTGCCGTTAGCAAACTTGGAGCTCACACTATCGTTGTAAGTCCAATTTATACTCTTCGTTGGGAATGTATTTTCGTTAATTTAACAACAGAGGCTGCGAGTGCACAAAGTAGCCGCCTTGTCAGCCCTTACTGGGTAGTTGGAAAGTAGCCGCCTTGTCAGCCCTTACTGGGTAGTTGGAAAGTAGCCGCCTTGTCAGCCCTTACTGGGTAGTTGGAAACCAATTTCTATTGTAATTTCTACAGCAGTATACTGCTGCGTCCACAGCTTCGCTCCTCGCTTCTCTTTGCTCCTCCTTCGTTTTTCTTACCTAGAAAATGGCATCAGTAATCGAGTTTTCTGTTACGGTCGTAGGAGTGTGATGTGAGAGATAGAGTACGAAATTGTCTAGAGTAGAAGAGTATTTATTTATGTAAGGGCTAAAATGCGGACCATGCACCAGCCTAGTTGCTCCACTGTTTCCTATCTAAACTTGACATCATCAGCTTGGACGCACTGTGTTCACGGTGGAGATGATTCCCCTGCAATCTTTGCTTTCGATTTTTTTCTTATTTCTCACTTGTGTCTAGCGCGTTCGGTGATCGGCCGCCTCCTAATAAGTGTAAAGACGGTTGATGAACTCCTGGATAAGCTGCAAGGTACTGAGGGACAGGTAAGGCAGCTGTGGTTGCTGTTGATGTCTTTTATTGCAGTGCTCATCGCAATAGCGTTACCGGTGATACAATTCCTTCTGTACAGCGATGCACTAGCGACTGCTAGCGACTCACTCTGTATACATAGCGGCCATAAGTGGTTGCGCTGTATACTTAGCGACCATGAGCGCAGGGATCTAGCCAGGGGGGGGGGGATGCAGCCCCCCCCCCAACACTCTGATGACCCCCCCCCCCCCCCCCACACACACAGTCTGATAGCACACCACCGTACTCATTTTTCGATTATTGTGTTTTTCAGTTCACACTATGGATATCTTTAATGAGGTCACAAATCAATCGTTCCGGGTGCTTACTGTACCCTTACAAGGCAATAGTGGAACATGGAAAAATGGGTGAACTGTTTGTTTCCCTGCCACCCCCCCCCCCCCCCCCCTGTAATTATTTCCTGGCGAGAACCATGAAGAGGTTTCGGAATTCTGCTGACTCGTCATTATGACTTCTTTTGCATAACGTTGTTACCGGCAAAAATAGCAACAAATTATTGTACCCATGGTGTCAATGTTACTTTTCCAAATTTCTCTTCTATTTGCTCTTCCATGTGTGCACCCATGTGTGTGTGTGTGGGGGGGGGGGGGGGGGGCGTGCATGCACGTGTGCGTGTGTGTATTTGCGTGTGTACGTTTCTTTGTGCACGATGCAGAGCGAATCACCAATCTGGCAGTCTGTATCATCATTCAGCCTGAACATTGGCGACCGTGTGAATGCCAAGGTTATGAACATTGAACTGTCCACGCGTGGTATTTCTAAAACGACAACAGACAATGGCTTCTTGCATCATTTCAACATGTGAGTGTGACGTTAGTTGCTGTACTCACAGAACGTACAGCACTGTGTCTGTGTGTGTTTCACAATCACAATTCTCCATGGTTGTAGCACTCAATGTACAATTGTCATGTACATGTACAAGTATGCCGAAGAAGGAGGATTGGCTTCTCATGCCATGACCGCATGAACCTGATCATATCACTGGGCTCAGCTTGCCAGGTCACCGCACATCACTCCAGGATCTTTTTGTTATTAGAAAATTTAGAAATCAGAGCAAGGACGTGATGTAGTGCTGTTACTACCAGTGCATCATCTCACCTCTGATCTGTTCTGAGTGATGTATTCATGTGTGTGTGTTTGCATTTGTTTGAGTTTACAGGTTCATACATACACCAGCACCGCAATACATGGACGTGAGCTCCATGCGTCGCACTGCAGCCCTATACAGTCTGGACGGGCCTACGGACGTCAACTCTACGCTTCGCATACTTGGGGACACGGCCGACAAGGAGTACCCGATATACCGCCGGGGTCATCCACCTGATGAAGTCTACACTATAGCAACCGGTATGCATAATTATAATGTGTATGGGGGGGGGGGGGATTGCTTGTGTATGGATAGGTGTATGGGGGGGGGTGCGTATCTTGATCATTCAAGTCAATATAGTAGCATTCTTGTGCCACCGGAGCCCTGGGGGAGTGAGAAGGGAAAAGAAAGAAAGAAAGAAAGAGAGAGAGAGAGAGAGAGAGAGAGAGAGAGAGAGAGAGAGAGAGAGAGAGAGAGAGAGAGAGAGAGAGAGAGAGAGAGAGAGGGAGAGGGAGGGAGGGGGAGAGAGAGAGAGAGAGAGAGAGAGAGAGAGATAGAGGGAGAGAGAGAGAGAGAGAGAGAGAGAGAGAGAGAGAGAGAGAGAGAGAGAGAGAGAGAGAGAGAGAAGTCCATGATAATGTTGGTTCTCGCTCCCGTATACACACATGTTCTTCCTGGTTAAAAAAATCTTTCTGATCCACTCTGTCTATCTGTTTCTCTCTCTCTCTGTCTGTCTCTCTGTCTCTCTCTCTCTCTCTCTCTCTCTCTCTCTCTCTCTCTCTCTCTCTCTCTCTCTCTCTCTCTCTCTCCTCCCTGTGTCTGTATTTCTGTCTTCCTCTCTGCAGCGGTGTATGACTTATTGAGAGGAGTTGTCGACATCTATACCACTCAACCTCTCCCAGGTGCCACTCCAGCATACACATTCTCTTTCTAGCCAACCAGTTTAACTAGTGAATACCTTTCAGATTATGATTGGTATATTGAAACAAGCACTATGATCGTGTTGTGTGTCATACACCATCTCGTTGTCATCTTATCCCACACTGGCTCCTTTTATCAGGTTTATAAACGATCCCAAAACAGCTAATGGAGCAAGATTTTGTCTGCATTGTTTTTCACGTATAGTGGTGACAACGACTATAAGTCACTTCTTGCCATGCTTTTCTCACTGCAGGCATCCCTGCCGGGTCCTGCCCGCTTTCTTCTGTGCAAACTGATGATGGTGGTGGGGAGAAGGAGAGCTCTGTGCTAACTTGTAACTTTGCGACTTAGAGAACATGTGCGGGCAGACGTGTATTTATTGCTATTTTGCCGGGTGTGCCTTTACATAATTGCGAAGTTCAACCCTAAGTGCAGTTTCAGTGGGGTCTTCGGTTTCATTTTCCGGAGTTAAAAGGCAAAGGGTAAATGGCTGGCTACATGAAAACGCTGTGAACAAAACCAGGTTCTATATTGACCGTAAGGTTTTGGAGTTAATCTTGGTTAGGAGCTAAGTGGTCACGTGTGGTCAACGAGTACCGGAATGACCAGTGGGTACGGGTAGCCAGGTGTCGGATACCCGAGTATAGACGGTTGCAAGGTAACCGTTGGCATTGATTTTGTTGATTCTATAATACTAGTATTTTAAAGTGAATGTGGCACTGTGCTAACATGTAAAATGTATCGCTAACATGTAAAGCACATGTAGGTGCCAGCTATTACTGTCCAAGTTGGATAGATGAGTACGAGTGTAAGGTACAGAAGGAAACCACCATCGACACATAAGCAATACAATGTCGTGCCCGACTCCAACATTAATTTTAACGGTCGTGTTATCAGACGTTCGGATAATCGAGCTGCTTGAATGCCATGGGACTCCTGCCTGTTCATGGTGCCAACTAAGGGGGCGTTCGAATTGTCTTCATCAACTGTTCGAACACATTTTTAAAAGAGATTAGTTGAAGTGTCCCAATAGAACGGTTTATATAGAGTTTCTCAGTGGAATTGTCATGGCGATGATGACGTCCGATCAGATCGACCATCTCCACGTACTACATGACGTAGCTATTCCAAACTCTTCGGAACTAATACACTCAGGGCGCGTTCGAATTGTCATTCTTTGACTCTTCGAGGAGATTCGCTTTTCTGAAGAGGTGGCCTTATTGGCCTCTCCCGCAGAAAAACGAAGCTCCTCGGAACTCCACAACCTCACCCGATGGGAAGGTGGATTAGTTCCGAAGAGTTTCGAATAGCTACGTCACGTAGTACGTGGAGATGGTCGGTCTGATTGGACGTCATCATCGCCATGACAATTCCACTGAAAAACTCTAAAAATGATAGAAACCGTTCTAATGGGCACTTCAACAAATCTCTTTAAAAAAATTTGTTCGAACAGTTGAAGACAATTCGAACGCCCCCCCCCCCCCCCCCCCCCCCCTAGTAGACTACCTCTCCCATCGCATCGGGTGAGGTTGTGGAGTTTCGAGGAGCTTCGTTTTTCTGAAGAGGCCAGTAAGGCCACCTCTTCAGAAAAACGAAACTCCTCGAAAAGTCAAAGAGTGACAATTCGAACGCGCCCTAAAACTAACTACCGGTACATGTAACTACTGGGTTTGGTCGATAAGCGCTGGAAAGAGAAAGAGGAAGGTGTTTTTTTCTTCACTTTATAAAGCTCCCTTGGAGCCAGAGTCCAGTTTTTATCCCGACCACCTGAGTGGTGGTATGGTCGCTCATGCTCAGCCGCCATTCTCTTGTTTAAGTTTCACCGATATGTACCGGTAGATGGCTTGTACTTATCGTAACGTCGCTCTTCTGCAAAGTGCCAGTCCGAAAGTCAGTTATTCGTTCTGCAAAACACTGAACAGAACTCAGTCTCCGGTGCTGCGAGTGCGAGTTGTTCGTTGAAAGCATGATGATGATGCACGATGTATTCCTTCGTCATAGGCATTCATTCTCCTTCGAAGCTTCGAAGAGTCTCGTCAAGTTGTCGAATGTGAAGGAAGCAGGCAGTCGATAGCGGTGCTTTGTGGCCAAGCGGAGAGACACAGCAGCCATTGTAAGCGGTAAGCCAACACAATACACAGCTCGGAACATGTTTCAGGCTGCAGGCAACGAAGAGAAATGTCATTGTGATGATAGTCTTGGTGCATGTGCTCAATGTCTTTCTCTACTGCACTGGTAGAGCCTCTGAGGAAGCGAACATGTAGAACCGGCAATTATTCTCACGTGAGATTTGTGCTCACTTCGCGAATTCCGGCCGGTGTGTGCGTTTTCACAAAAAGTGACAGAAGAGTAGCAATAGAGAGCACGGGTGTTTCGCAGCGGCCACTCGTCAAGATGGCGGCAAATCCGAGAGTAGAAAAATTTCGACTCTGCCTATGTGCGGCGGATGCGAATCTCGCACGTGCATGCAAAATCTAGCCTTCTGCAGATTTGGGTAAAGCAAGTGTACGTGTGTGGGAACGACGACCTTTTCCGAGAGAGAATGTCGCTCTTTTCATCCCAACATTTTACTCTCCACGCTCTCCCTCCCAGCTTATTGATATGAGTATCTGCTACCGAGTAGAAGTCTCCATCTTCACAGTAGGCCAGGCATAATCGCAACGTTGAAATACTTTGCTCACTTGGTTTTTTTGGTCCTTTGAGATGATGCGGCTGTTGTGTACAACTCGAAGTGACAAACTTGAGACCCCCGCGCCACAAAAAACTAAGGCGCGCCACAAAGTTTCGTTTGGCTGTTCGATGAAAGGATGTATGGAAGCAGGGATAAAAACTATCGTGGCTGCCGGCAAAACTCCTAGTAATGTAATAAACGGGGGTGTGACTTTGGTAATTCTAAGAAGAATGTACGCACCGCCATTCCACAACGAGACGAAACTACGAGCTCAAAAACACTCCGATTTTCAAACAAACGACGCAGGAAAGAAGACATGGCCGCAGTGTTTCCGTGTGGTCTTCAAAACACCTAATTTTACTTCGATAGCGGCTGGTTCAGGGCAAATTCAGGCCCTATTCGACAGCGTCGTACCACTCAGATTCGCCCAAAACACGAGGAAATGTACGGTAGATCCAAATGCGTACGCATTTTGCGTACGGGGACGACTGGCCAGAGTTCATGCACTGCAAACACCCGTGAGAGGTTAAGATGCACGTTATTTCCGACGTGACGCGCAATTTCACGTCGAACTTGGCGTAAAACTCCAAATTTCGACGTGAGCTGCAGGTCGCTCGCGTTGATTTTTCGACGTGCGAGCAAATAACGCGAGCTGAACTTTCGCGTCACGTCGGAAATAACGTGCATCTTAACCTCTCTAATGTTTCCGCTGAAACGCGCCCAAAGGGTGCCTGTAACTTACTTCGGGGCCCGTATAATCGAGGTATGAATGTGCAGTAGAACTTGTACGGGAAGGTTTGGGCCGGGCACTGCCCGTCATCAGGAATTGCCCGCAACTCAGAACATAATTATATACTTATTCCCGTAGCTATGCAGAAGACGTTGCTTCAGTGACGTCTGGCGCTAGCCAGGGTCCACACAGCTTTAATTTGGTGTTTGTTTGTGTGTTTGTGTGTTTGTGTCACGCCTGGCGCTATCCTGTATCTGTCCCGTACCGTACCATCAAACACAGCTGGCCACATACAGCTGGCCGCAATATTCAAATAGGGCTTTCAAACGCAAGATCATAACGTGAAACAACTTGGAAGAATGGGTATGAATGCGAGTTGTATGAGGGAATGCATGTAGGGCGATAGTGCGGGTTCGAATTCAAGGTAATGCCTGAAAAAAAAAAAAGGAGAATAGAAAAATGTATAATATCCCTTTTCTTTTTTTGTCATCATCAAGGCGGTAGACGGTGTCGTATTACCCTCGACCGTACCTGCCCCGTACCTGTCCCGTACATATCCCGTACCGTACCGTACAATCCAAGACGGCTGGCCACAATGCATATTCAAATCGGGCTTTCAAATACAAGATCATAACGTGAAGCAACTTGGAAGAATTAGTATGTATGCGAAGTGTATCGGGGGATGCATGCAGGGCGATAGTGCGGGTTCGAATCCCAGGTTATGTCTAAAAACAAAAAGTAGAAACTTATATGAATTTATAACATCCCTATGCTTTTTTGTCTAGGTCATCAAGGCAACAAAGCATAGCATAGGGCCCTGAGCTTCCAAGCTCTCTCGTTGTATGCAAGCGAATGCAAGTTGCGTAGTAAACAGTCCGTCTTCTTTACCCCTCAGTATCAATAATAATTATTTGTGGCCATATCCCTCGGAAAGCCTCGTTTTGAGACGGTCCTGATAGGTAAGCCGAGAATGCCCGGGTTAGTGGAGTTTTTTTTACTATACTCTGTAACCCGTCTCAGGTAAATCTCCCAGGGATTTGAGAGGCTTGGGGTGAATGGCAGGGACATTGCCGCCGCATATCATCCCAAGGGCGTCGGAACCGCACCGGCCGGGGCGGCCATGGCCGCCCCACTTTTTCGGCCGTTTTTTTTTTTTTTTTTTTTTTTTTTAGCACACTGCAACAAAGCGCGATGATCTCAGCGCAAACGTGGCAAATCCTTGTCCCCGATCGTGGTTTGTTGCAGAATCAAAAGTCCATTTACACTGAAATGGCACCAAATGCCTGGGAATGCTTGCAATTGGCTTCAATTTTTGAATTTTTTTCCCGGGGGAGGGTAATGTTTGTCCCCGATCGTAGCATCTTCTTGGTTTTTTGCAGAATCAAAAAGTCTTTCATTGTAGTTACCGTACACTGAAATGGCACCAAATGCCCGGAAATGCTTGCAATTGGCTTTAATTTTTGAAATTTTTTCCCGGGGAGGACCCCCGGACCCCCCTGCCATGGCCGCCCCACTTCCAAAGTCGTTCCGACGCGCCTGCATCCTGCAGTGTTTACAGTCGTTTTCTTCGACAAATCACGTTGGGGAAAACCCAGATTTGCGAGCCTGAGGGACAGATTTAGCCAAGCTGCCAATGACCCATTCTAGAACAGTAAGCTACAGAACCGCCACGGCAATGTACCCCTCCCCCCAACACACACGCACAAACAGAAGCACATCTGAGCCCACCAGTGCGACCTATTTGCAATGTGCACATTTCAAGCCACTGTCCATAGCATGCCGCAGTGCAGCAAACTGAACAAATGCTATTTTGGACTACTGTAAAATCGGGCGGCAAAGAACGGGCACCGGAGAATATCATTCTAAGCTAGAAAGTCATCAAATCAACGTGCCAGGCTTAACGATTTAGGACTACATGTGTGCCACGGTGTTTTCATGCAACACTGCATACACAGCAGTGGTGCTGTGTGATGAGCGTTTTCAGACCCGAAACTCTGAGTACTACAAGGAAGGACCTGGTTGTACTGTTGCTGTTTGTGAATTTTTTAAACTTCAATAACTGTGCACTGCCCCACCGGAAAAGGGAGAATGGGAGAACATGAAAATGACAAAAGAGAACAATGGGAAGGTGGGTGCTACAGTGTGACTGAAAACTCTCCTCCCGGACTCCACAGCAACACAACCGGATAGGACGGGAATATTATAATTATTAGGACTGAACAAACATGAAACGGGAAGTACAAAAAGGAAAAGACTACATACCAGCCGCCATCAAAATCGGGCTCAACACAACCACAGGCACTACATCATTGCGCAACAACTTTGGAGCATGCGCATGCTTGGCCAAGTCCTGTTACCATGGGACCACTCTATCACACTCCTCCGCCTGGTAACAGGGAAATTGTATCACCAAAGTGAACGGGCAAAGAAACATTCCAAGGGGACAAAAGTGGAAAGAAGGGACACAAAATGCGGGAAAGAAGACAACGGTCTCGCAGATGGACCATACACACGGATATACATAAAAGATGGCAAACAGCAAGTGAAGGGCAACCATACCGGAACCGAATAGAAAAGAGAATACCCACGCAACCAGAATAGATGCGGCACGAGCAGCCACAAAGCATATGGTGCAATGTACCGTCACACGAAAAAGTCCAGAATGACACATGCAGTACATGAACACAACGGTGTGAGTTACGTACGGAACCGACCAGGGACCTGCAGACTGGAACGATCGCGCAAACCATAGCCATGGACAGGCGTGTCAGGCATGGCATCATGTACGGGGGGCGTCTGCAACACGAGCTGGACAACGGGGTCCCGGTCGTCAGCCTCCACTGCCGCCGGCGCGTCGGCAGGGCCATGCGCATCAGGAGCCTGTGGATCTCTCTTCAGCAAATCCACGTTCACCAGCTTGGAGCGACCATCAGCTGTGGCATTACGGACTGTCGACGGGGAGATGATGCGGATTACGTGCCATCCAGATTCGAAGGGGGTGAGAATCTTCGAATGCCGCTCCGGACGCCGAAGAAGGACGGCAGTGTCAACGGGGTATGGACACTCGGGCACGGGAGCATCGAGGAAGTCAAGCCGTGCTAGCTCAACTTCGAGGTGATCGCGCAGGCGGGCAGACTTCCGCTGCAACTTGTCCACCCAGGCGCTGTCGGACAGTTCAGTGGAATCTTGTTCGATGAGAAGACGGTGAGGCTGCCAGCCGTGCATGGCTTCCATCGGGCTAATCTTCGTAGCGGTGTGCGGGCGAGAACGGTAGTGGAACAACAGAAGCTCGAGGGCAGTCTCCCAGTCGTCATCATCCTCGAGCGTCTTGCGGATGATCGTCAACAGCGTCCGGTTGAAACGTTCCACAGAACCTTGTGACTGGGGATGTCGAACAGCGCCCCGCTGGACCGTGACGCCAAAGGACTTGAACAGGGCTGACACAATGGCATTGACGAACTCAGTGCCATTATCGCTACGCACAACCTCAGGCGCGCCCCATCGTGAGCAGATAGAGACCATGGCAGCAGCGACCTCCGCCGAACAGTGGCGCTTCATCGGGACAACTTCGACCCACTTGGTAAAATGGTCGATGCAGACGAGTACGTAGCGGTAACCAGAACGGCTGACACCAAGCTCCAAGGTATCGATGGAGACAACACTCCAGGGACCGTTGGCGGAGACAGGTCGTGTCGGTGGCACACCGGGGCCACCACGAGGGTTTGCAGCCGTACAGGGGGGACAGCGGCGGATGAAGTCCTGACACTTCTCGGCCATGTTGGGGAAGTAACAGACACCCCGGAGAAACCGCCACATGACCTCCCAGGAGGCGTGGCCAGTCTGTTGATGGGCACCCCGAAGAACGAACTCTTCGATGTCATTCGGCACGACTGGTACTGACATGACCTCGTTAGGGGGTAGCTTGACGCTCCGCATCAGCACGCCATCCACGACGGTCAATTGCTGCTGAACACGCTGGAATGCCGGCGAACGGACAGCATGGCCGGCCACAAGGTCCTCGACGACAACCGGAATCACCTCGTCCTGCTGCTGCGCCGCGGCAATCTCGCCCAGGGTTAGGACACGCCAGGCGGCATCATCAGCGACAGCGGCGCCAACGACATCGGCATCACCAATCGGGCCAGACATCTTCGCAGTCTGGCGGGCAAAGCGGAGGAACGGCGGTGGGACACGTGTGAGCTGATCAGCAATGTTTTGCTGTGTGGGTACCCAGACCACGTCAACACTCATGCCGGACGAGTCGACGATATCGAGAATAACCTGCAGCCGGCGTTGCACGAGGACTTCGTGCAACCCACTGACGTGAACCCGCTTGATGTTGTCGAACAGAGAACGCAGCCACCCATGCACCGTCTGGGAGTCGGTCATGATGCACAACTTCGGGATACGCCAAGACGACGCGAGAGTGAGGCCCTTTACCACGGCATCTAGCTCGGCGACGTTGATGTGGCGTTTATCGGTGGCACCGCGGAGCCACGACTGGTCTTCGAGTACAGTACCATCAGCTTCGAGCACGACACCGTAGGCAATGCTGGAGGCGTCGCACCAAACACGCCAGTCTTGGGGATCGTCCGCAGTCCAGGCTCCATGAACAGGGTCGTCGCCCTCCACACGCTTTGCCGCATCGTGGCAAAGGTCGCACAACTCCTGGGGGACAGCTGCATCCCAGGCATCCGTTGTTGCAGACGCCAAGCGCTTCAGCCAGCTAGCCAAAGGGCGCAGATAGCCACAGACCGGATAATGACCAGTCAGTTGACCACACCACTGGAATACATTCCGCTTAGTCATCTGGGTAGGAGGGGGTTGCAGTGGCTCGCGTCGCTCCCACTGGCCATCGTGCGTCTGCAGACCAAGGACGCGAGTCGCATCAACGTCCACAGCAGGTTTCGTAGGCAATCCATGGGCGGTCAGCGCGTCCGCAAGGGCCTCCGCCTGATCTGTCGGCGTGATGATGTCATCAATGTAATTATCGGTGTCGGTGAAGTCACGGGTCACCCATTTCACAATAGTGTCCAAGACTTTCGGCGCAATGGCAAGGCCAAAGCCCATGCGCTCCATCACGTACTGTCGTCCTTGCCAAACGACCATCTGGAACCGCTGCTGGGTTGGGTGGATGCGAACATTCAGGAAGGCCTTACGGATGTCGACAATCTTGGACGCGCCTTTCCGTTGCCGCCACTCGCGAAGCTTCTCAGGGCACGCGGGTGCCTCCCGACCAGGGCTGGAGATGATCCGAACGTTCAGCGCACGGTAGTCCAAACACGGACGCACGGGTGTGGTAGGCTTATGTTCCTGACACACAGCCAACAGTGGCAGTACAGCGCCTGGTGGACCATGTCGATCAGCATCATACGGTACAAGCCATCCCTCCGCCAGCCAAAGGTCAATCTCGGCCTGGAACTTGGCCTCCTGCTCCGGTGACAACTTCTGGCGGGAGTATTCGCCAATACCAGAGCCAATAGGGGCTTGCGGTGGTGCGCCTGCCGACCAACGCCATTGGACTTCCCAAAAACCACGCTCGGCGTCGAAGGCGACCTCAGCATCACCCATGGACAGGGTGACATTCGGCCCATCTCGTGACACAGAGACATCGCGTGGCAACTTAGCGGAGCTCTCCGGGTTGTCAGACTCGGACGTGGTATCGGATGCAGTTGACGGATCACGCTGGCGACCAAACCATACGGTTGCGAGGACACCATCGGGGGCATAACCAAGGTGCACGCCACCCACGGAGGAGATAATGTCCAGTCCCAGAAGGATATCAGCGTCAACCACATCCAAGGTGTCGACAACGAGGAAATCAGCAGTAACTTCAGGCAGGTGCACTTTGTCATCGTCACGATGAACAGTCAACCGGACTTGCCCAGACACCACAACTTCCTGCCCATCGATGGCGGTAATGCGCGGGTTGGACTCTACGAGCTGAACGGGTACACCCAACTCGGAGACAACGCGATAGCTGATCAAGGACTTACTAGAGCAGGAATCCACGGCAGCACGCAGCCTGGCCTGGCCCTCACTATAGACATGAATCCTGGGCAGCGACGAACAGGGACTTGCCACGACACTGAGGCAGGCATTGCCCGTGGTCGACGAGCCAGAGCCCGCAGCACAGGCGGTACTAGTGGGCGTCTGAGAAGAACTGGCACCACCACTAGACTTCAGCTGAGGGCACTGACGCTTGACATGGCCGGGCTGCTGACAATGAAAGCAAACAGGAGGACGTCTCTGCCGGTTCGGGCAATCGCGCCGCAAATGCCCAGTCTGATGACACTCATAGCAGAGGCGACTAGGGGTGGAACTGCCACTGGGTCGTCGAGCAGGGCTGGCTGCCAGAGCAGCAACGGGTTCCTTGACTAAGCTGCCCGCAGCACAAAGGGCACGGGCCTGGGCTGCAACTGAGCTTACCGTAGCCCCAGCAGGTTGAGAGGCTGCATTCAAACGAAGCTGCACGGCGAAGTGAGGCGGAAGCCCCACCAGGAACTGCTCCAAGAGGATCGGGTCCTTGCCGTCCGCTGCCTCCTTGTGTCCACTTAGCCGTTGCAGCCGCCGAAGATCCGCCAAGTAGGCGTCGACAGTTTCGTCCGCTCGCTTCCTCCGCTTGACAAACTGGTGGTAGGCATCGGCAGGGGTGACTGAAAATGACTCCACGAGCCGCTGCTTTACCTTGGCCTCGTCCTTCTGATCATCACTGGCCATCTCACACCAAACAGTGAATGCATCACCCGACAAATACAATGGGAGTACGGCCATCCGGGCTTCTGACGACTCAAGCTTCTGGATGCCTGCCACCACCTGGAACTTCTGCCAGAATTCATCCAGATTATCATCGCGCCCCCGAAAAGGTCGCAGCAAATTGTCCACGCGAGGACCCGACGCCATCACTATACAGGCCGTCGACCAAAAACACTGTCAGAAGAAACGAATAAGACTAGGTTCAGCAAACGGGTTTCGGCACCACTTGTGACTGAAAACTCTCCTCCCGGACTCCACAGCAACACAACCGGATAGGACGGGAATATTATAATTATTAGGACTGAACAAACATGAAACGGGAAGTACAAAAAGGAAAAGACTACATACCAGCCGCCATCAAAATCGGGCTCAACACAACCACAGGCACTACATCATTGCGCAACAACTTTGGAGCATGCGCATGCTTGGCCAAGTCCTGTTACCATGGGACCACTCTATCACAACAGGGTAACCGTGTTGGTGAGTCTGGAGCCACTCCACCCATCCTTGGTCTCAGCATCAACATGCCACGAGAGCACCAGAAAAAAAGAAATTGTATTACTACTAATTTACTAGCTCTCTCTTTCTCTCCACTGGTCATAGAGAACTATACGCAGCCTGCGGGTCTTAGACTCCTGCCCAACCGTGAATTGATAGGTATCATCTTGCCAGCGAAGTCACTTCAATCAGGCACATGTATGTAGTGGAAACCAGGCTATAGTTTGTGGCGGTCAATTCATCAGCATGGCAAGTTGAATGGTGTAATTCCAGCACAAGTTGCCATGTCTACCATTATGAGCGAGTGCCATAGCTTGATCGCTTTCATCACTTCAGCGATGGACGTGTGTGTGTGTGCGCGTGTGTGTGTGTGTGTGTTCGCGCGTGCGTGTGTGGGAGCATGTCACAGGCTGCTGGTTTCCGTGTCTATTTCACAGGGCAAGAGGATGAGAACATTGCCACAACGGCAGTAACTACCTTTCTGCACATCAACCATATGAGGTAAGCAGCCATTGTTGTCCTTTTGTTACAGTCAGTGCTTTCTGTGAGAATTACAGCTAAGCTAGCACCTTCTTCCTTGCATTCTGGCCTTTTCTCAGTCTCAAGCAAAGTCTATGTGGTCACAGTGCTCGTTGCTTGCGTGCATGATACTTTTGCACACACTAACCATTGTTCTCTGTTTTTGTGTCTCTGTTTCTTGCAGTGCAGGTAGTAGAGGAGAAAGCAGCAAGCCAGCGAGAAACAAGCCGGCGAAGAAAATTCATGCGAAGAAAATTCTATAGTATTAGCCATCCCTATCCCCGACCACCATCCCCTACTGGAATGATTACTTTTATAGCCTACCCTGGCTGTGAACTTCACACTTGATGAGTGGCTAACCAACCACCCTGGCCCTCAGCCAATGAGAGAACGACAGCCAGGGTGAACTGAGGGGACGATGTGGAGAATAATAATTATAATGTTGAAGGATGCAAAAGGGTGCAAATCTAAAACATCAGCTAAGTGAGCACCATAAACCCAAAACGGAATGGAACCGAACAGAATAAGTGAACAATCAACAGTAAGGGGGGGGGAGAGAGGATATTTTTTTGGAAAACCTTTCATCGGGCAATAAATACCAAAAATATCAGAATATTGCTCTCCAACTTGCCAAGGGGGGGGGGGGGTGTTGTGCCGGAATGAAAAAAACGAACAAAACCAATATGCCAGCTGAACACACACCACCGCGGACACACGCTCCAGAGAGGATATTTTTTGGAAACCTGGGGCAATAAATACCAAAAATATTAGAATATTGCTCTCCAACTTGCCAATGGGGGGCCGGAATGAAAAAGACGAACAAAATCAATACTATAATTATGATGCCAGCTGAACACACACCACCACCGCGGCGCGGACACACGCTCCTTCACCGGAAAATCAGTGGGCAGTAGGGAACAGACTGAACAAAATTCTGTACCAGGCAGGGGCAGGGGGGGCACAACTAAGTAGCTGCTGATCTACTTGGTTGTTCTTGTTAATCAGCATGGTAGGAGAGAATGAAATAAGTAGCCAACAAGGAAAAGGAAGCGTTCACCCACATGATGGATAAGCAAGTGCTTGGCAAAGAAGAACATTGGGCTGCACTAGCATAGTCTGGCAAAGCACAGGCTAATACTAAACGTAACAGTTAGCACATTGTGCAAAGCAAATATACGAAAACAAACAGGAGACAAACACTAAAGTAGTCTAATGCTATGCTATCATTCAGCGGCACTTAGTTCCTCCAGTCGCAATACTGAGTGCCAGCAAAGGCACTGCGGAGAGGTCAGGACCGATATTGCCACATAGTATCTACATCAGCCAGACTCTCTCTCTCCCTCCCCCTCTCTCCCCTCTCTCTCTCTCTCTCTCTCTCTCTCTCTCTCTCACACACACACACACACACACACACTCTCTCTCTCTCACACACACTCTCTCCCTCCCTCCCTCCCTCTCTCTCTCTCTCTCTCTCTCTCTCTCTCACTCTCACTCTCACTCTCTCTCTCTCTCCCACTCTCTCTCTCTCTCTCTCTCTCTCTCTCTCTCCCTGTCTGCGCTCACCAGTAGAGGACATCAGCTGGAGACTGGGAACTGATCACACTCGTGATCGCATGATAACATGGCATGATGACATGGTTCAGGGAAGCCGGTTAGGCAGAGTACAATCTGACACTGAATGTTGCCAGTCTCTCCTGCTGCAGGTCATCACTAACACACAGCTCTTCCACACAATCCAAAGTGCCTCACGAATGCCGCATGTCACGGTCGGTATGACAAATACCAGTGCAGGTACAGCAAGAAATGACATACGTCGAAGTATTCATCATTTGCGCTGGATGAACCTTTGAGATCATGTGTCCATCCTTGATGGCAGGGCTGCTAACAGGATGCTACTCAGCACTTATGCATGCCAGATGTGTCTGAAAGTGAACCAGAGGACAGCACAAGACAGATGTTAAATCTTAGAACATGTCATGTGGGTTCAGTCAGTACTGAGCTGGCTACCAATTAAAAAGGGAATGGAAAATTCGGTCCATTTTAGAAGAGACAATATATGAGCCAGCACACGCGAAAATCACCCTTAGTGACATATTTTCAGAAACTGAGATGACGGTGGATAAAGGCAGATGGATTTATGCAGAATTCAATGCAAAAAACGTTTGAAAAAATCTTGAGTAAAACTTGAGTTACGGGTCTTTTAGAAGATAGAGCATTTTACCTGATATATCGCACATCACACGAAAACAGAGAATGTTTGAAGTGAGTTTTCTCAGTTTGAAGTGCGTGTCACTAAGGTCGATTTTCGCGTGCGCTGGCTCATATCTTCTAGATAATGATGAAGACTGGGGGACAGATTGATTGATAACACCTTAGTATTTGGTGCTGCACATGTGAGAAGGGTGCTTAGCTGCACTTTACTGAAACGGAGAAAAATGCAATCGAAGTTTGAATTTACCATCGTTTGTGGTCAAAGACTGCGCATAAGACCGCACCACCACAGCATCATTGGTTTTGTTGAAGGATTTCCATCTGAATAGGCGGCGCGGAGAAAATAACTACTTGTATACTATAGCAATCAGATTTCCATACCGCAAGCTCCCATGTAGAGAGCAACACACAATTCCCCAAGTATCGCCGAAGTCGCACCAACCTCTTCTTCACATAGATTTCCATATGGTGTTTTTTATATTATGAAAGATGGAGGAGCTGGCAACTACAAGTGCATGATAACTCAACGGCCTGCCCAAGGACCATAAGCAGAATCTAGCATTGCGACCTGTCGTATCTGCATGTGACAGCCCTATCACAGGCGTTTCCATCGTATTGGACCGCATTCAGCTAATTCAGTTTGTCCCTGTGCACCTGGCAAACACAACTGAAGCCATCGACCATACCTGCCAACTATGCCCTGGCAGGAGCGCCCTAGAGGACACTACAGTCAACTTCGCCAATAACGACATTCAGCGGGGCATCAGAAAAGTGTCCTTATTCGCGAAGTGTCCTTATATCCGAAGTCCCATTTGAATGTATGTGAACCCATATTTTGTATAGTATGACATGCATATCAAAATGAAGCTCTTTTCTTGCTCTATGTCAATGTGTACTTTATTTTCATATTGCAGTTGAAAGGAACTAAAAATTCAATATGCAAGGAAAATCAATTGAAAAATATGCCTTTTTGAGCCATCTACAGGGCCAGAGACATGTACATGTACATGTATGATGATTACTGTACAATCTTGTACAACTACATGTACATTGTATACATATACAGTCATGTACATGTAGATGTGCTGGTAAATCCAACAATTTTGAAGCCAACATAAAAAAGGAAGAAAAAGTCCCCCCTTGGCTGTATTTTCTTGCATGTGTACCTTTATATCCATCACCATAGGTTCTGGCACTTCTGCATGACAGGTACTTGAAATAGCTGTCAAAAGCCCAGAAAGTCGTTATTCAAGCAGTGAATATGAGTCTGGGGGCACTAAAAGCATGTCGCTATACGCGAATTGTCGTTATTCAGATAGTCGTTATATCCGAAGTTAAATGTATACAGTTAGATGGGACTTTGCTCTGGGCATGGAAATTCGGTCGTTATTCGCGAATTGTCGTTATATCCGCAGTCGTTATTAGCGAAGTTGACTGTATAATAGTAACGATGGATGTCGTGGGACTCTACCCCCATTATTCCTATTCGTGAGGATGTTGCGGTAGTGGGAGATGCGCTGCAACAACATTCTCCGCAAATCAATATGTTTGGCCTGTCCATGGGTTCGGAATCTGCTGTTGTTTGTACTAAGCCACAACCATTTTCGGTACGGAAACCAAGTCTAGCACCAAGCCGACAGCGTAGCTATGGGCCACAACTAGGCACCGCCATTTGCTATCCTGTTCATGCACACGTTGGATGCCCGGCTTCTGCAGATATCGCCGCTCGCGCCACTCATGTACAAGCGCTACATTGACGATGTCCTGATCATACGGACACACGGCAAGGAAAAACTTGTTCGATTGTTCGAAAACTTGTTCGATTCATCCAACTCTTCAATTCTGCACATCCGAAAATCAAATTTACCTTTGAGACAAGCGAGGTGAGCGGTTCGACCAACTACATGTACATGGATGTGACAATATCGATCCATGAATCTGGTCTTATCGAGTACACACTGTACCAGAAGCCATGCAGTAGCGGATCACCTTAAAGTTATAGATTACACATCGGATGTTATCTTTCACATGAAGTTGGCTGTCACTTCTTCCCAAATCCTCCGGGCGCAGAGGCTTTCATCAAGTCCCCACATGCGTGCAGAAAGTGAACAAATGATGGATGAACAACTTCGACTAAATAATTACCCATGTCGAATGATAGAAGAAGCACGCATAGTATCCAGCAAGCCAAAAGTCGTCAAAGAGCAAATCCATGCTGTGCGTTCCTGAAACCGCCATACAAGTCTGATCAAGTCCATCATGCCGTTCATAAAGCCATTCGAATATACAACATCCCTGTGAGACTTGTGTATGAGCATACCGGTAGCTTGAAGCGTACACTGTGCCGCTCCGCCTCGACTCGACCGATGTGCGTCAAGCCAGGAACCCACTACAGCCAAGGAAAAGAGGTCGACCAAAGGGTCCTTGCTTGACATGCATGCCAAGTGGAGAAAATGCCTGTATGCAGAAGAATTTAGCGTATGAGATTAAGTGCAAGGAATGTCCAGAACAGTATGTCGGCGAGACCGGTAGTTTCCTTGAGATACGGCTCGAGGAACATGATGGTGAAGCAAGAAGGCAGACAAGAGACAAGCCATGGGGAGACCATTTCCGTACGACTCACCCAGGTTGCAATTTGGTATGTGGTCAGAGTGCGTTCTCTGCAGTTGCCGTTGTCGCCAGGCAGCCAGGTAGATCCCGCCGCAAACTACGCGAAGCCATCGAGATCCGCGACACCAGGTCCCACGTTAACACCAGCACTGGATGGGAACTATTGTAGGAAAAACATATACCGTGCTCGCGCGATTAGTGCCCCTGGGGCACTCTTTTTTCAATGTCGATCACAGATGGGGCACTATTCAAGATAGGGCACTCCTTTTTCAAAGCTGGTACATTTACGTCATCCCGCATAAAAACAAAGAAGGCAAAGAAAAGCAGAGCCTGAATTTTACTGTTAATTATCACAAGTACTTCAGTAAACAGAAAGGACACTGCGATTTTGATCCTGCGATTTTGATCCTGAAACCACCAGTTCAATGGCATGGACAAGAACATTACCAAAAAAGCCCTGATACAGTTCTGGACGTTTCTCAAGGCTGGCCTGAGATGAAAGTGGCCTGGTCATAGCCCGCAGGCCTAGCAGACCTTAGTTAACCCTTTACAGGTGGTACATACTTTTATAGAACACGGATGA